AGTTAGCTCTTTGTACTGATAGTTGGCTATAATAACAATCTCACTATCTCCGCTCCAAAGAAAAATCACGATGTTGAAATTTTCATCTTTCGTTTGCAAGAAATACAATAAGTGCTGAAAACACTGAAGAAAACTAAAGAAATATTTCTGTATAGCGGTCATATTGGCCTTTTTATAAAGCAAACTAAAACTGCAAAATACGGAAACGAAGGTCAAATTGACAGAAAAAACAATTGAACTTGAGAGAAAAATAAAAACAGGACTGACTTGAAAACGTAAAAAGGTAGAGTGTTCCTAAATCCGTCTTGCCTTTCTCTTAGCTAATGCTCACTATTCATTAATATGGCTAAAAATATAATACTCTTACCTTGCCGTTTGGTCCAAGTGTTTTTTTCAACTTCCGGGAGACATTGCTGGCACCAGTCTTTTGGATTTGCTTCATTCGCTGCAAAGCAGTAGCGATTGATGAAGCAAGCGCTTTTCTAGAATGTAAAACAGAGACATTACGAAAATGAAATAAACTGTTAATTAGAGAATTACATCTTGAAATCTCTAACACGGTGTACACCCTTACTTGACGTAACTGCAGTTTAAGAACTCAGTAGTAATTCATAAAGAAAATAGCAAGCGTTTCTGGGCGAGTTCGTCGAGAAAGTTAGGACGAGATTCTTTTGCTCGGCTCCAACTTTCGCGAAGCAACTCGACTGGAAACGCTTTCTACGTGGCTATACTTAAAAGCAATAAAAATTGCAACGTTTATTGCAGTGAGAATAAAGAGATCAGGAGAAGGATTTTTAAGCCGTTCAATAAAATCGAAGTTAGTTCGTGTTTTACTTTAAATAAGTTAATTAAAAAGTAACGTTAATCAAATTTGCCTTTAGAACGCATCCTGTAGAAACATTGCACTCCATACAAACTGAATCGTAGGATATAAATTTTAGCTTCTCTTTGCTCTTATGGATGCCGTTATTGGACACAGATATCATCAGCCCAGCAGCTGGAATTCCTTTGATCTTTTCATCATACTGAGTGCTCATGACAGGCGAATCAGGTAGATGGCACTCTACAAGAACGAGGTCCGTCATTATTCCTGGATATTTTGTTTCGTTCTTGTTTGGCGTCCAAGAGCTGTTGACAACCTGGCGGTAATGAAAAGAGAATAAGCGGTTGCCAGGCTGGCTAGATTCACCTAGATCGCCCCTCGCCCCTGGCTATTTTCTCCGAAAAAAATAAAAAGGTCATAGGACAGTTTTTTTGCGTTCAAGACCTCAGTCAATCAGTCTAGAATTTTCCTTGAACAATAAAGCGCACGTTGAAGAAGACGAAATCATTTTCATTTTTATTAGCAGCATTACAGCATTAAAGCCTATTACAAAACCGTTGAACGAATGGAGTCCAGAACTGAAATGGAATATATTATAGAATATCAATAAATAAGCATTTTTTTAAAATTTCAGGTCGGGGCGGTATCATCATCTTTAGTTATTCGTCAAAATGTTCCGCAAAAATTGATAGCACCAGTCCAAAGCCACCTTACTGACGGTACGCCATGGTGATCTTTGGCGGCAGTCAAGGTGTATATTCTAGAACTTACCTTTGCTATTTAAACGTCTGCTGCCCTCTCCGACCTTGTTTGACTGACAAGACCGCACATTTTTCTATCCCAAAATTTATTATCATTATCATTATCTTTGTTAATTTAATAATTTTTTATCAATTAATTAATTAATTTCGGAAGGAGTGCTTGCCTAAGTTTTAAGTTTTAAGTTTGCACTGATCGAAGTTCAGTTCCCCAGTTATGTACTAAAGTGGAAGCTGGTCGACACATGGTGTTAGCTTATTGAATTTTAAACTACACGAGTGTATTTATAATGGCTTTGAACGCGAACAAGTAGTAAGCAGATTAAAAGATGCTTATCGCTATATCGTTCACGCGGGAACGATGTGAACGGTCTAAACTCTCTTCAGAGTGGATAAATTTGTAAAAAAAGAAAAATCGTTCTCTTCTGGAAAGCGGTATACGCCCATAAATTTCTCGGGAACCATTTTCTTTATTTATCCAAGTACCCGATAAGTCATGTACCTAATCAGGGAGCTGCATAAAGGGTTCTCTCATTCCAGACGTTGAATTGACACAATGCAATTTTCATTTTATTAGTTACAGAACACAATCTATTTGTTATAGGTATAAAGGCATTTTTCAGAAAAGCAGAAAACTAAGCTCTTATAACTGGCGTGTCTCTAGTCGCACCAAACCTCTCGTAATACTTCATGCTGGACAGAACTCAAAGAGCAAATGACATAAAAATGCACCACTGGAAACAAATTGTATTTTTGTTCTTGTTTTAGTTTTAGTTTTTTTTTTTTGTTTTTTTTTTTTGAGATTTAGACTCACTCGGACAGCATTTTCTTTTTGATATATCCCAGTCTACAAAAGTTATATTGGCTGCACTTTAAGCAGCGTATTAAATTGATCTCCTGGAGCGTTAGGGTTGATTTCCGCTATCGCGTAATTTTTCCGTGCGAACACGCGTAAAATTTACGTGTGTAAATGAAATATAAGCAATGCATGAAAGGTTACGAGTAAACGTACAAGTTGAGCGAGGTTCAACTTTTACGTAGACGTGTAACCTTCCATACAATGCACCATTATATTAACGGGACAGTGGAGATCCACCTTAACTGATCTCCACTGCGTAGTTTACGACCTGCTTTGAAACTGTTGGTTAAGTCACCCTCATTAAATCTTAGAATATAATGGATATAGATCAGATTGCGCACCAAGACTTTGAAATTCACTGTCTTTCTACACTAAATCAAGCCCTTCTGTAAACATTTTTTAAAAAGAGAAAATTAACGATTATATTTTTAAGAAACGGTTTTTTACTTTTACTCATTTATTAATTTTAGTGACTGTGGATTTTGCAATGATAGTTTTTAGATATAGTCTTTACTTTTTAGAATTTGAATAACTTCTAATATAAAGCGCCTTTGGATGCCTGCAGAAAATGCCCTATATAAACTGTTTATTATTAAAACTACTACTACTGTACTTAACAAGTAACGATCAATGGACAACACCTGCGATCAGGTAGTCCCTCCTCCCTTTTTCTTTTTCTTTCTTTGCATGTCTGCTGACTTTTGTGCTTCCCAGAAAACCCCTGATAACAGGTGAAACATAATGTATTACTCTGGGGTTATATGTTACAGGTCAAAATTAATTGAGGTTAAAAATTTTAAACCTAGAATTATTCTCTATTTCCTTTGTTCCCTAGCCCTAATTATTCATAAATTAGGGCCAGCAGACAAAGGAAATAGAGAATCAACCTAAGTAAAAAAATTTTGACCTGAATATAATTTTGACCTGTAACATTTACATCAGTACCTCCATTTCCTCAACATGACAGGTCACATTGGTAGAATTCAGATAACCAGTTCCCAGGACAGATACTTTTTTGCATCGTCGTTTTCGACGATCACACAATCCATCTGTTTGTAGTCTAAAAAAAACATTGTCCGACTATTAGAATTTAACCAGTGCGTAGTTCATAGAGTTTGTTTTATGCCGGCTATTGGACATAGCTTCCCCGTGTGAGGGCCTCTGCAGAGGACAGAGGCCGAGAAACCAGCCGCAAATAACGCGGGTTCGCCTGTTAGCAATATTAAAGCGACCAAAATAAATTGCGGACGAATGAATGGACACAAAAACATGAAGAAAGGTCTTGTCGAAGAACCCTGTGATGTCTTGCTAGTCTGGTTTCATTATCTTTAAGGAATAAAGAAAGGTACTGTATGGGCTCAAATTACTGTGATTGTGCTTCGCCCGGTGTCCAAGGAGACAATATTGCAATTTACGGACAGGAAATATCGTTTTTTCCCTCAGCTACGCAGTCAGGAGGAATGTGTGACGAGCCAAAGAACGTCTTATAGAAGGCTAGACGGCTGGCACGGATTTAAGGAGGATAACATATAGGCATCGAAGTACGTAACGTGCATTTCAGTGACAATCAAACGATAGAGGGCGAAAAAAAAAACTATAAAGCAATGTAAAATGTCACAAGTTGAAACACCTGCTGTATCAGGTCCTATCACTACACTTAACTATACCTTGAAATGTCTGGCCTTTGATAAACTGATATGGAACAGTCTTTGGCTGTGTAGTCCTTGTTGCAAACACAAGAGCCGTTTATACATTTACCATTGAAAGCGCAGTCATTTGGACAAAGAAGTTCAGAAATTTCTTCCACGATGGGGGGTATCTTTACTGCCTCTGTGCTGGTGCTATTTGTAGTGTTCGTATTCACTGTTATGTTTTGGATGATTACATCATTGCATTCAGCCATCAACATGGATGCAGCACCAATTGCGAATGAGAAGTCTCCTGTAAACTAAGAATAGGAAATGAAACAAATCCACTAACCGAGTGATAGAGGCGTTTCACCCTATCTGGAAAAAGGTAAGGAATATTACCCAGAGCCTTAGAAAGAAATGACCATTTTGACTGCGAGAAGAAAAACTAGCTTTAAAGGGGATATGTCCCGCTATTTGCTATCTTTTTAAAACGCTAAAACGTATCTCCGCACCATTTGAATTCCAAAAATATTGGTCCAGATTTGTTATGCATTCGGTTAGACAAAACTGAAACTGTGTCCTGTCGTCTGTAGCGGCTAGTGAAAAGAGTGGATATCTTGGATTGAAACCTGAAAGCCGGACCAACGTTTTTCAACTTCAAATCGCCAAAAAAATTATTACGGTTAGTAATTCCACAGGAGCATTCTGTGTACGGGTAAAGGCGAAGAAGTAAGTGACGAATTAAGCACAGAATTGACCTGAAAAAAAAAAGATATCCTCGTGACATTAGCCCCTTTAAGTTGTGAGTATTCCGCTACCTAAATCAGATTTCTAGCGATGGAGACTGACTATAATATTAAAAATTGTGTTATTAATAGTAATTAATTACTTTTTCAGCTAATTAATGACACTTTGCACAGCGCCGAATAGCCAATTCAGTTCCTCTTAGGTTATGTCAGACTATATGCCTCTTTTTTACGTCTAAGCCTCACGCGACAATGAAACGGTCCCAACCGAACCAGTACATGGTTCGGAAAACAGGCTCTCGAAAATGACTTTCATTGTAGACATTCATAAGAGGCCTTCGAAATTGCTGACGCCCGTGAAAAAGCCAGAAGAAATTAAGTCTGCGTAGAAAGCTTCTGATCTTAATGAAATGTTAATTTTCAGATGCTTACCTCAATGTCGGAGGAGCAAACGTTCACAAGTGCTTGTACATTGGCTCCTAATTTAGCGCACAACTTTCCCACCTGTGTTTCTGCTAATTTTTCAGTGCAGTATCGTGTAGCATTGTCTCTAGAAACCGGAGTAATTGACCGCTTCATCCTTCTAACCAGTTTATTATCTGAAGGGTTCCTGAATAAAGCGAAATCTTCGTCTGTTAAATCGTCTGATCCCTCTACGTCTCGTTTTTGTGGATTCCTGTCGCACATTTTAATTCGATTCAATTTGTCGTTGGTAGCGGTTGGCACGTATACTGGAATGCCATCCACGCATTTGTTTTTGTTTTTCCCCTTGTCTTTTGTCTTATCACATGGACAAGATCGTTCATAATTCAACCCACCGGTATTGATGTTTGTGTGCAGAGGTGGCTGATCGAAGTAACTTGGTTTTTTCCTATAGTAGAAAAAATTTGGGCCTAAATGTATTAATTTATAAAAGACACCATTTAAAAAAATACAAGTGATATTTACAGGCCAAGTGAAAAAAAAAACCCACGTTGCATTATTGTTAAACACTTTTTTTACTACTATACTACGCAAGACCTACTTGAGAAGGCTAAAAAGGCTCTCATTATGAACCCACTGGTGAATTTATATGAGGCCAGGCAAGCATTTGTCCAAATTACTCCGGACCCGGAGAACACATCTCGGAGCAAGTGCGTGAAACATCATGGCCTTTGGGATTCGAACCCAGGCCAAACTGGCGCTTACCATATTTGGAAGATGCGAGCAATATACCATTGATTCCATGGTATGAATTATGGCTTCGGTCAAGACCGTTTCCAAGCGGCAGCCTACGGCTATTTTTCCTGAGTAAACTAAAAAAGAAAACGGCGCTCATAGCTATACGAAGACGAAATACCCGAGTTTATAACTAACTGAATGGAAGAAATGCAAGAATATACGCAAAACATATCGCTCGATGGATGGTATGTACTTTTTGTGGAGAATCCAGAAAGAAAAAGATCTGTTCATTTCCTAAAACCATGCCTAGAAATAGGCCAAAGTTTTGAGTGTACGAGAAGGTAAGCTTGTTAAGAACTAGAAATTTAACAAAACAATTATTGAGTTCGGCTTTGGTATGATGTGAACCCGGGGATGTGAAGAATTATGCAGGTCTCGGAGGATGTTATTCATCCTCTTCGATCTACATAATTCACCACATCCTTCTCGGCCTCATTCAATGGCTTGTCACTAATAGTAACCGATCGCGAAAGCCGTGCTGGGTAACGGAATCGTGACGGAACGGACCGTGAGCTAATTCTTAGTTTGCGAGATGCTTGAAAGGATAAATGAGCATAACAGAGCCATCCCACTTTCACGAACTAAAACCTCAGCCGTTTCTAACTACCCGCTTTATAAACTAGGAATGGATTATTAACCGAACGTCACCCTAACTAGATCAGTAGAGACAGCGGACTTGATATTCCAGAAGCAAGGATGCCTACGATCAGACAACACACAGCAGCAGATCTGTATCATAGCGTATCGCTGAGGGAACAGTCTTTTCCACTAACACTGTGATGCCAACAATGCTTTGCATCAAAACCCACGAACAAAGAGTGTGGTTCGTGATGCACCAATTACAAGCAACCGCGGCGTTTACTACTACTTCCGCTCAGTAAAACAACCCCATCGTGTGATGAAGACCATCAGTACGCGGTCAAAACTTGGCGATCCTTGAAAAAAGGGACTATCGTGAAATTGGAACGATTAACAAGCCTACCAAGATTGCATTTGTATATATTATATATTTTGAGTTATACTCCCTGCACTCATAATCCTTGGGTAAAGACCAAGCTATAATAATTATTCTACTATTTGAAATACATGCGCAATGAATCGTTATGACTGAATTATATTTCTTCAAAAAAAGAATACCTAAGTACCTGTATCTGTATCCATAAGTGTTCATATCTCCATCAAGAGCTTTATTTCTGTACAAACACAGTCCTTCCTCGTCGTTACGACTTGCGGTTCGAGGAGCGTAAATAGTTACGTCGATCCCCCAATAATTTCTCTCAAGTATAACTCTTATCCCCGATGGTACTATAACCTAAAATAAAAATAAACATCTCGATGAAAAATGATGATTATGCGCCCAAAAAATGAAAATAAATCTCTTGAATGTACAGATGTAAAGGGAATGGATGTATTTCCTCCCCCCCCCCTTCACTTTAATTCTTTCCGTATTTTGTTAAATTTTTGCAAAAGGCTTTAATAATCCAGAACCTCTTCTTTCAGTAGACGTTGATTTATTCCTCGTAATCATTACATCAAACTTTGGTGGCCGCGATGATGATTACCATTATTCGGCATTTACGAGTTATCGCTGTGGAATGAAATATGCAAATGAGTCTCTCACACAGGTTCGTAGACCGAGATCGGCTCGCTCCGAAATCGCCCGATATGAAAACGACATGTCGTTGTTGTTGCCGAAGTGTATTTCGAGCAACTTCGGGGCGGCTGGGACGTGCATTCACTCACGTCACCTCGTGAGAGAACCCTGGGAACGAGGTTGTCACGCTCACGTGCTAAGCAAACGTCAACGCTCGTTGTCGATCCTATCATTTCTCTAGGTAGCGTACATACATGTATACATTGTACATTGCGAGTATCTTGATCATAAGCACTGTTGGGACGGTTTAAATTTCCAGTAACACGACAAAGGAAGACCGTTGCCGATAAGCACGCGAAAAGATTAATATTGCTAGAAGAGTTATAAAACAATTCCAAAGTTAAGCCAAGTTTTCATGATGAAAACGCCTTTACACTTAAGAGGATTAGAACGTGCACGCGCGCGGATAAAACAGGGCACGAACAGGACACGCTTTAGTTCAATAGCTGAACGTGATGTGAGACTTTTTATTCATTCTCCTTGTCAGACAACTGAAGCAAAGAATTTAAATGTTTTTTTTTTTATGACAATGTGAAAAGCCAGGAAGCCATGCGAAGCGAAATCAAAGGCGACAATATGTCCCGCTGAAACACTTTGATGGAGTCTGAAATGAAAGATTTTTTCTACGGGTAGCCGGGTGCGAACAGTTTATTCAAATGAATCGACGAAGCGCGAGATTTGAATGCTGAGTTTACCACTTTGAACTTAATAACCACTGAGTGCGTCTATCAGTTGTTCAAATGAATCAATGAAGTGCGAGATTTGAAAGCTGAATTTAAAAACTTGTTATTGCTTCGCAGTCATTAAACGAGCAAATTTGTTGAGTCCATAAAGGAGAGTTTTTCTCTTAGAAAAGTGAACATCAGCCTGGAAATTGGAATAGAATAGCTTCGTATATCTCGTTGTCACTAACGAAAATTGTAGAGTGCTTTCGAAACAATAGTTAGAGAGGAAAAAAACAAGTAAGTAAGCTTGAGTTGTAATTTTAATGAGCTATGTTGTCTTCTGTTAAGCCTATTCAAACCGGTCATTTCACTCAAATTCATTCATTTTCCACCTGCAATTACAGATTTACAGCAAAAAGTTAAGATTACTCGTTATTCCTGTATTATCTCAATCCCTAACCTAATTATAATTTTTACTAACACTTATCGAAAAGCGACATCGTTTCCTTTCATGTCATTTCACGATGTGTAGCGGCAAATTTTATCATAAGCACTTTCAAAGATTCAGAACAAAAGGGTGGCGGAACTTGATGCTGAATGTCTCAGTAGTGTATTGTGGACAGTTCATAGACTAGTAGAAAATGCGTAAGCTTGGTGTTTTGCCAAAGTTTTAAAGTAAGAATTTTTGAAAATACAAGAAAATACAAGCTTAGAAGTTTTTGAAGGTAAGAAAAGACTTCAAAGTATTCACAACAGTGTTTTCCGATTTATTATAGCTGAAAAAGTTTATCACTCCGACAATGTTAACAACTACAGATGTCCGGCACTGAGACGTACAAATATTTATTCGCACTATGACTAAAAGATAATAATACCGATTCAAAGTTCAGTTTTATCCGTGGTGACGTTCTTTGGCTTTATAAAAAGCAGAATTACTAAGGAGTTCCCGACGTTGTGGCCGAAGATGGACAAAGTGCCCAGCCACCACTTCCTCCTCCAAGATGCTAAGATTGCGCACATAAATGCTGAAGATCTATGATATGAGTCAAATAAATAAAGGGTTTTCAAAAGCCCCAGAAAATAATTGTAGAAAACAGTCTTTTATTATACTGTGATATTTACAATTTCAAGAGGGACGATACACGCAGTACAACGAACATATACAAATCGAGCTCACCTCGTATTTACTGTTGATGCCTTTGATTAATTGTTTTAAGGAGATTCCCGGCGCCAGGCATTTTTTACCCGGTATAACAACCTCAATTGGGGTTGTGCTATCTTGATCCTTTTTGCGCGGGGTACCACAACAGCTAAACCTGATGACGTCGTTGTGATCGCGAATGAGAGCTCCACAATTACATGTTACCCCTGGATGATTGCAAAACCATTGTCTTGTTTGGACCTATAAAACAACCAAAAGCACGTGTCCGTGTGTTTTATGGTAGCAACGAATGACGGGATATCCACTACATCTAAAAATAATCAATGATAAGAAATGGATACCAAAATAGTAAAGTTCCAAATAGTAAAACTGGAATTTTGCACGATCTAGAACTGCCACTAAAATTTCGATATTTTAATATCTTAAAAGATCTTAGACTAGAGAGTATGGTATATAGCCAAATATTTTTAAAGAATTTTGTATGATTCAGAGACATTTTAATCCTCATTCTTTTTTACTTCAGTAATACGTGCAACGATAGATAAATAATAATAGATAAATACAATTTCTTAAAAGCAGTGTCATAGAGCTGCCCAACAGCAGATTTTCACTTAACGCCTATGGTTGATTTCAATCACTTTTCCACAAGTCTAAGGAAAGACTACATAAAATTCCTTAAAAAGAATGATCACCGTATGTAATATACGTAAAACGTCGAAGCTGTGAACGAATAGAAGCAAGAGGCAACAAAGTCTGCGTTAGCATCATCTCTGTTGCAAAGCGTTACCGCGGTTAGCAGCTGCCAGAGCCTAACTCGGCCAGTAGTTGTTCACTTCCCCCTAAATGTCACCTACCTCAAAGTCTTTTTCCTTGTTGTGATACAAAACAAAGTCCCCGTCTCCCATGAAATCTGCCCATCTCTCTCTAACAAAACAAAGCGACGCATAAATGTCGTCATCAGTATAATTATATTGATCAATAAAAGCGAATAACGTTTTGAGCACGCACTCGTTGGCCTTAAATATAGCTCGAATCCTTGAGTAAAAAATAACATAAAGATAAAAACACAATCATTGACCAACCGGACTATTTTTAATACTTCTATTCTTTTATTAAACCTTTAAAGCTGAAAAGCCTCAAAACATGATAGTGAAAGCCAGAAGACAATTGACTCCTTATAAAGGAAAGGGGAGAAGGAGAACAATTAACCAGTGGTAGATCAAGGAGAGGGATCCTGGAGACCGCTTCCCTCCTCATTGCACGTATTTCCGCTATTCGAAATCAGCGAGCGGTCCAATCCCGTCCACAGAACTTCCGTTACCCTTATCCAGCTGAACGGGCAATGGACGCTCTGTAAGAATCCAAAACCAGAACCAGAAAATCCTAGTTTCGGTTTAATTGCGCCTGCATCAAGTTGTTAAACCATTTGACCAAGAGACGTTTCCAAGCCAATTTTGCCTTACTCGCACAATTGGTACACGATCGTCTCAAAGCAGTTTTTTCTTACATGACCTTTGATCGATGTTTTGAGTAACTTGAAACGACTGTCAAGGAGACCGAAAAAATATATGTATTTATTTAAATTACCGCGGCTGAGATATTCGTGATAACGACACACATTCTTTCGTGCTCAGCCTGAGAATGAGCACAACTGTATGCAAATATGAATGGTTCAATAACATGTATGTATCTTAAAGAGTGGCGTTGAATGTCTTTCACAAAAAAGACAATGGAATTTTTGAACAAAATGTTATGTGGTTTCGTGACCTTAGATAGGGATAAAGTCGTTCCTTTACGGTTTCAAGTCGTTGGTGTGTACACAAATGACCTGTCAAAATCAAGTCAACGTGCTCGCAGTTTTTTTTTATTTGCCAAGTACTTTGCCCATGATGAACATGCTTTTATCGGCCAATCAGAGATGTTCTTTTTACGGATTCTTCCAGAGGTTAGTGATCCTTGGTGCTGACCAAAAGGATCGCAGCTTCTGCGAACGAGATTGGGAGCAGTCTGTAACTGGGTCAAATGGGCTTTCGTCCTCGGTCATTTCAGTATTCCAGAGAACAACAGTAAAGAATTCCTTGAGCAAATCAATTGCGCAACAGGCCCGTTTCACAGTTGAAATTGAAACTGAAAATTCCCTTTCTTGACTCATTAGTCGGAAGAGATTCAAAAGGACGCCTCACTAGCTACAAGCTTATTATTATTATTATTATTATTATTATTATTATTATTATTATTATTATTATTATTATTATTATTATTATTATTATTATTATTATTATATTTTATTTTATTTTTTTTCATATAGAAAACCAACCCACAATGAACAATAATTAGCCTTGCACCGATGAAATGCCAAATCTTCGACGAATTTTCTGTAAATGTTAAAACTCGACGTATAAACCGGGCCTAATATCGGAACTAATGTTATTCTTCTGCGAGCCAAAGCATGAAAAAGAAAAAGAGCAGAGACTAAGGGCAGCGTGCAAAAAAGTAGTGTCCGATGGCCAAGGGCTAGTGGATTTTGCTATCGGGCTAGTGGATTCTGTTATCTTCGTCCATGCATAAAACAACATGGCTTATCAGTGCTATTTTCAAATCGGACACAAGAATTCGATCGCACTTTCTGCGACCTAAGTACTCCATATTGACCCACGAATACACCGAGTAGTTTGTAACATTTGTGAATCAGTGCGGGAAAGTATACATTGGCAATACGAGAAGATAAAGTAACGCGCCCTCGTGGAATAATTGTTAATTATAACATAGCTAGAAAATTCGCCTAATCAAACTCAATAGCGCAAGCGTGCTTCATTTTCCTATTGAGCACGCTGATGACGTCAATAAACTATTCGTAATTCCTCGAGTTGTTATGAGCTTAGCCATCCTGAGTCTCCTGAGTGCATCCATAACTCAGCAGTACACGATAAAGCGTTTACCATTTGTTTTAGGAGGAAATTCAAGAGGAAACGTTTTGTTAACCAATAGTAAGGAAAAGAGGTGAGTGCTGTTGTTGTTGTTATTTCTGCGACCTGTTCGGGCTATGGCGTGAGATCATTTTTTGCAAAGTCGTTTTCTCTCAATAACAATTTTTCGGAGAATTAATAGTTTTCCGGCACTTAAATATGGATTTTAAAATTATTTTAGAGTACATCTTTATCCCAGTTTCAGGATAAAAACATAAGCTTAACTGTGAGAGTATAGTCACGTAAACATTGACGCGCACTGCTTTGAGCGCGAGCTACAATAATAATATATAGATTTAGCTAGGGCTGAAAGCGAAGCTCTCGATAATATTAATAGTTTGTTCAGAAACAAAATATAAAATCGTTTAATGCTAAGCGGCGAAGGCATGCAACACCGGAAAAAGTTGAAAAACAACAATAGGTCTAATTAGCAAAAGCAACTTTGCAACTGCACGTTCAGCGCCCTTTTTTTTGTACATTTCTTTGCCGTTGTTTTTCACGACTAAAACGTGAAACTTCCAGAAACTTCTTAGGGCCTGTTTACGTGCAGGTGGGGGACCCCAGGTAAGTGAGGTAACATGTGGCGGGTTACCCCACCTATCATGTAAACATGATCAAATTAAAATGAGAGATTATATAGACAGCGAGTTACCTCACCTACCTGGGGTCCCCCACCTCCACGTAAACAGGCCCTTAGTTACACGTTTTATTGAGGAAATGTCGTACGTGGTCCCGTTCACTTTTTTCCACTGCCGCTCATTTTCACCTTGCATTGGTGGCCGCTAGTATTTCTCATTTTGTCACCGCCGCTACAAAATTTTCATGTTGTTCTTCCAACAAAAAAATGTTTTTATCTCTCGCTCTAAATCCCTGTCGCCCTTTTTCTCGTTGAGCTTCGCTGGCCTGCCGCCCACTTATTTTCTCTGTCCTTCCCTTGGTCTATATTCCAAATTTGTAGACATGACAATTTATCTAAGCTTCATACTTTAGACAACACGGATACAGAAGCAATTTACGCTTTCCGTATTCGTCTTTATTGACTTTTTTGTTGTCTCTGCTTTACAAGACGCCGGTGGCTATGCGATTTCCCGCCAAAATTAACCTCGAGTTGCATTTGGGTTACCATACCTGTTGATTGAGTTATTTTCGATTAGCATGCCTGTGGTGCGGACGGACGGTCTCTCGGTGTACGGTCACGTGATTACCAAATTTTCTTGGATGGGTAGATTACTTCATTTTCTTACCCTTGGTGCTCCGCTGGCGCCTTTCGCGCGCGAGAGCTCCGCTATAATTTTAAGTTAACTGCAACATTGATCGCTTTGATAATATTATAAAACAATTAGTTCATGCTTCAGCAGTGCGTAAGTCGAGATATTGAGCACTTGAGAGAGAGAGTTTAGAGTTGCTCTAGGTTGCGCCTCGAGCTACTCTTACGCCTCTTTCTTGCTCTCCAAACTTCCCGACGTGCTCAATATCTCGACGTACGCACGCTGACGCATAAACTAATTGTTAATTTGTGAAGGGTGTCAGTAGCAGCATCTGCTATAGCTGTCATACGCAGATGTAATTGTTTTTGTTACTGGATATCAAACTAATGGGTGGATGAAATGGCAGAAGAAATGCTCTAGTGAAAACAACACGTAAACCCTGGAGAAAAAATATTAATTGCTAGTGAACTATAGCAGTAAGAGTTTTTGTACTTGTTTTTGTACATAATCACACTCCACAACTATTATTGTTTGTAAAAGTAAGGTGCAAACATCATTGATAGAAATAGAAAAGCTCTTGAAAAAACATGTAGCTATGTCATTAAGAATGCAGTTCATGAGTAGTATAAAAGTGATCATGACTTATGATTATTGAATATGCCGGTGGGCCTTCATTAGCACTGAATCTCTGTAAAAAGCACCAAATCGGTTATGCAGGTGTACATAGTTATTCGTGTACATGTATGACACATATGCCCATACACGAGTGAATTTGTATGAAATGTCCACATACAAGTCACGCTGAAGGTGATCAGTTTCTCAGTTCTCAACATGCGTGAGCTTGCTCAATAGTTGCCACAATAGTTTTTGAAATTCCCAGACTTCGTCAAATGGACACTTTCCCTGATTAAATGAATTGACAATGGTAGTCTTTACACTAGAGCGTGATTGATTGACTGACATGCTTCGCCTTTCTCAAAGCTTAGAAACCGCAAGTTGGCTAAGTCGGTTTTAAGGATGGTTTTCAAGTCTCTTGAAAGTTGAAACTTTCTTGAATCGTTTCAACTTTCCGACTTTAATGAGATGCAAAGTAAAGCTACTTGAGATCTTACTTAGGCCTTCACACACGAATTTTTGGTTAAGTAAAACTTAGCAGCTCTTAAGTCTTTCTTCACAGCCTAGTGTAAAGACAACAAATGGTTGTCCTTACACTAGGCTGTTAAGTAAGACTTACTGGCATGCGCTTTTCACAAACATGCGAACTCTAAAGTTCATAAGCCGCCTTCACAGTTGCGTTTTTCGCGGCCGTCAATCATAATTACGATCACAAGCAACGAACCTTGAAACACAGAAACACACAAAACGTTTGAAATCCACCAATCACAGATCACAAACCATGACCTTTTGAAACCGTTAAAGTAAAGTTTTGTTTCCTAAGAGGTCCGCTAAGATGATTGACGGCAGCGAAAAACGCAATCGTTAGTTGGCTTTTATGGGGTGCCATTACCGCCAAAATTCAGTTATCGTTACTTTCGTAAATGGTGCCTCCAATTTTGTTTATGGTGCCTTCGTTTTCATAAATGGTGCCTCTGTTTTTGTAAATGGTGCCTCCAATTTTGTTTATGGTGCCTTCGTTTTCATAAATGGTGCCTTCGTTTTTGTAAATGGTGCCTTTAATTTTGTAAATGGTGCTCCCATTTTTTTATTATTATTTTTTAATGGTGCCTCCTATTGTGTTAACATGGTGCCTATATCTTATAAGTACATGGTACCTCTGTTTTTGTTTATGGTGCCTCTGTTTTTGTTAAACTGGTGCCTATATCTTAGTACATGGTACCTCTATTTTTGTTTATGGTGCCTCTGTTTTCACATATGTTGCCTCTAAACTTGTTAATGGTGCCTCTTATTTTGTTAAACTGGTGCCTTTATCTTTGTATATGGTGCCTCTGTTGTCTTAAAAAATGCTGCCGCTGTTTTTGTAAATGGTACTTCAAATATTCAGCAGTCTGGGAACGACTCTCTGGTGACTTAACCGAGGAAAACTGGGGCTCAGTGTCAAAATGGCGGACTCCTTAGTTTGTCTTCGCGGTCTTGTTACAGGAGAAATTGCAAACATTTGCAACAGTTTATCCCTTGAGCCCTCGGAGGATTTCGATCCCCTAGGTACATGCCTCAAGGAAACATGCAAAAACGGTGCTTGCCTTGGTATTTTTTTAACATTTTAAATAGACTGGTACTCTATAGTTCTATAAACTGTTGCAAATGTTTGCAATTTCTCCTGTAACAAGACCGCGAAGACAGGCTAAGGAGTCCGCCATTTTGACACTGAGCCCCAGTTTTCCTCGGTTAAGTCACCAGAGAGTCGTTCCCAGACTGCTGAATATTTGAAGCACCATTTACAGCGGCAGCATTTTTTAAGACAACGGAGGCATCATATACAAAGATAAAGGCACCAATTTAACAAAATAAGAGGCACCATTAACAAGTTTAGAGGCAACATATGTGAAAACAGAGGCACCATAAACAAAACAATAGGAGGCACCATTAAAAAAATAATAATAAAAAAATGGGAGTACCATTTACAAAATTAAAGGCACCATTTACAAAAATGAAGGCACCATTTATGAAAACAAAGGCACCATAAACAAAATTGGAGGCACCATTTACGAAAGTAACGATAGCTGAATTTTGGCGGTAATGGCACCCCATAGGCTTTCGGGTTACATTCCTTTTAGCCAAACTTTTTTCGGATTTGGACAATCCAGATTGTTTGGATTTTCGTGCTAGCCGGAACAAAAATCTGAAATAAGATTGATCCATACAGCAGCAGCCTGCCGCTCCGATCTTCTTCTTAATTTCAACGCATCGTTTTTCACTTCTTTCTGCTAAAAGTATCTTCTCGTGGAGAAACGGAAAGAAAATTAGCTCTTTAACTAGTGGTAGTTCATACGGGAACTCATCAACTTAAAATTATCTGAAATTTGATTCAAGAAAATTCAGAAGACGATTACGAAGCGCTGAGAAGAGCCTTCTAAACACAAACAGACATTGGACAGTATAGTTTTACAGTGAGAAAATCTAAGCGTTTTCACTTCCTAACGGATTGAGAGTAACAGTGGAACTTCAGTTAAATCTACTACAATCCTTTAGCGGCATAGAACATCGGGGGAATATAAATAACTTTTGCCGCCGTGTTCACTGATGAACGAGCACGTTTTTGCGCTCGAAAAGCAGTTTCATTAAATGGAACAAAGATCTGAAATCAGATTGAGATACCAATCTGAACCATCCAAGTTCAGAGGTAGATCGTTCGTATTGCAATCTTAGATTGGTTTTGTCCTTAATGGAACAAAAAATCGAATTGTCGATCGCAAAATCCGGATTTTGATTGGCTAAAAGGAATGCAACCTTGAACTTCACAATTCGCATGTTTGTGAAAAGCGCACTAAGAGCTGCCAAGTTTTACTTAACCAAAAAGTACGTGTGAAGGCCTAAGTTAAGTCCCAAGTAACTTTACCTTGCATCTCATTAAAGTCGGAAAGTTGAAACTATTCCAGAAAGTTTCAAGTGACTTGAAAACCATCCTTAAAACCGACTTAGCGAACTTGCGGTTTCTAAGCTTTGAGAAAGGCGAAGCATGTCAATCAATCTTAATTATGTTGCGTGGGAAAATAGGCTTAATTAAACCTGAAGTAAAAAACATAGGTTGTGTGTGAAGCTTTCTTTTACTTAAAGAATTTAAAATTTAATTGTCTTGAAATATTTCTTAGCTTAGTTAGTCTCTAGTGTAAAGACTACAATTGTTTTCAAATGTAACGCTTCCCAAGATGTCACTCATTACGTTCTGGACTGTTTGTAGTAGGCTTACTGTGAAATTTTTACCATCTCCGATCACTCTGAACCCGTGGTTGCAGACGGTGTAAAGGCTGATCGGTTCTACTCAGTCCGTTGGAAAGCTGTTCCTTGCGTGTATTGAATGTTGATTAAAATGCAAAAATCGTAATTGAATCTGATACATGTATATGCGCAAATGTTCGTATTTTCGCGCTAATGAACTGGTCGCCGTTTCACGCAAATGATTGCGTATTTTCTCGCAATGAACAGCAAAAGGTGTATTTGCTGTTCTGTGTCATTTGCATTTAAGAAAATTGCTCGTGATTCACCGAAAGTAGACATTTTTTCACAGACGATGAATGAAACATGGCGGTGCACCATGAAACCGTTTCAGTGCAGTCGAATGTTGCCTGGAAACAAAAAAATGCTGCGTGACGATACATATACATATAAAGAAGTATATTAAGGGCCACGGAAGTTTGCAAGCCGCTAAGACTACGCGCATGACGAGATTAGAAACTCTCTTCGCGAGGAATTAACTCCGTTTAGAAGCGAAGAGCATGACCAAATAAAACTAGAAATACGTTATCTCAAAATTCTGACGGAGCTAAAAAGGGTCAGCAGTGAGAATAAACGGAGCTAAAAGGAAACATTTGCCTCAGAAATACTTTTCGATTCGCCAGGCGATTCGCCAACGTACAGTAAACAAAGGAAGAATAAAATTAGCCCTAGTCTGTGGCTAACCAGTTGTGTTACCTGAAAAACCAAAATGCACGATGAGGTCATGCTGAATGGTGTCTTTTAGAGCTCGTTAATGGCTTGTTGCTAGGACTGCGGATACCAAACCGATATAAAGATTTATGACCAAAGCAAAATCGAACTCCGCTTGCGATTCTCGCGCGACAAAATTAGAAACTTGCTGATTTCTTCTGCAAAACGTCAAGTTTTCCTGTTATTTTTTAACCATGCAGAAGCTAACTAAGGACGAAAAAGTACCAACTTGAAGGAATACAAATTTGCCTCCCTGTTAACTAAATTTGCATCACTGTTACATGTAAATTACGGGTAGTATTCACCAACGGCAAAAACGTTTTGCAGAAGAAATCAACAGATAAATTGATCAGTCTACCGTTGTGAAAGAATTTGCTGGAGAGTTTGAGAGTTTTGATTTTTTTGAACATTGAAAAATATCACAATGTTCGATTCTCGACCTATGACCCTAGTGAGCACAAATAAATTAAAGAAAACCATACATAAAAGAAAGCAACATTTGTTTTTATTGAAAAAGGGTAAAATATGATATTTCTTTAAAGATCAAGGTAGAAGCCCAAAAAAAGTTGAGAAAAGAGCCGAAAAACTTATTGATCGAGACGTCCACACGCCCGATAACATGTATTGCGATTAGGTTGCGTGACTTGTATGAGAGGCTTTTGTCTGAAAAGGAGAACAAATTATGGATCACAGTCCTCTTCTTCTGAATTACAAGAGAAACATTCAAGCTATCATTAAAGCAACTTTCAGATTGTGTGCTTTGATTCCTGTAGGATATTCAAGGTAAAATACTGTACTGCTTGGTAACGTCTCCGTTGAATCATGTCTAAAAATCAGGGTCTATAGACAACACTAAAATCAGCTGTATCATAATTTCTGTATCATGTCGCCACTTTCCAGACAACAAAGCTTTCCTCTTCAGGTAAAACGCATTTGTCGGGATTCTAGCTTCGTTACACTTATGTCCTTTAGTGCTAAGCTTTCCTTGCCAGCCAGATTTTTCTCTCACTGTTTCGGATCCCACGGCAGAACTCTCAATTATTTTTGCACCCGTTTACGTGCTGCGAAGCGATACGTCACGTGATTAGTGTCGAATCATGACAGGTCGAATCATGACCGTCGAATCATGTCTGAAAATCCGGGTGTATACATAGCAATGAAATCAGCGGTAAATACAGGCCCATTTTCGAGCTAGATAGGTAAAGAGCGCTGACTAGTAGCTGTTTTACTTTTGAAAATATCATTAAATTTATACCTATCTTGAGCATCAAGTAGCCGATAATGTGGATCGGTAACACTCTTGCACTTGTGAATCGCTTTTGGTTTTTGGAGTACGGAAACCTGAAAATAAACCAAGAGGCTTTGTTAGCTTAGATATTTTGAACTGATATAAAATACAATGAGACTTCTAACCTTTTTGAGCAGACGGCTCATTTCCCACCATCAGTATAAACAACAAAAATCGCAGTGATGTTGGGGTACGTTTAAAACAGGCTAGGAATCGATCTAAGAATAAGGAATAATCACTGACTTCCACGTCAATTATGTTTTGGAACGAAACCGAAACAAGCGAGATGTTCTTGTTCCTGTGGTTCCTAAGAAGGATGTTATTATTTTGTTGCCTTATTTTGGTCTTCAAAGCAACCAAATTTCTAGACGCCTAAAATCCTGTATTTGCCACTTTTACTTTGCGTTAATTTAAAGATAATTTTTCAAAACACCTGCCGCATTAGATCTTTTTTTTTTTTTTGCATACAAGGCCCGCCTTAATCACTCTCAAAGATCCAGAGTCATTTATAAAGCTTGGTGTTGGGATTGTAATGATTTTTGCATTGGTAAAACTAAGCGATGGCTCCATGATAGGAAGACTGAATATTTCAAGTCCCTGACAAAAAATGATCACTCTTCACCTATTGCTGACCATATCACTGCCACCGGACATTACATTAAATGGGATCACTTTGAAATCTTAGCATCTGGCATAACAGATTATCATTGTAAGATAAAAGAAACATTGTTTATTTAAGACCTTAAGCCAGCTTTTAATGAGAACATCAAATTTACTAGCTGTTGCCTTTTGTATTCATTACTACTGTTAGAATTCTTAATCTCGTTTCCAGACCCCTTGTAATTTTTGAATATATATTCTTGTTATTTTCTTCAACGGTCACTTAAGATCACAAGTTTGAAAATGTATGTTGAATAGCATACGGAACGTCAAGTTTTTAAAAATGCGAAAACTCACAATGTTTATCACCGCTGTTTGTGTTTTAGTTTTGATCAAACAACAAAAGTCTCTATGTCACAAAATTAATATCCTATATTAAAATCTCAGGCTCGGGTTTATACTTAAATTTTTCTTAAAATTTCGTAAACATCAGCCTCCAGTCAATAACAGTCCCGTCTAAGAACCAAAGTTGGTCTTTTGGTAGGGTAGCGTGAATGAATCAACGTCATTTTCAGAAGGTGGCGACAACCAGTTGAAAACAGAAACATATGCGGCCCTCAAATTATATATATTGCACAGTTAATAGTTTAAAAATATGGTCGGCTATTTGTTTCAAAATTATGACACGATATACGTGCGGTTTTTTTCCCACGTATACTTGCAATCATTCCTGCTACACGATATACGTGCGCTTTTTTGCCACGTATATTTGCGTTCTTTTCTGCTTTGTGGAGTTATTATTCCTAAGTATATAACCATTTTCTTACAAACGCGCATATATGCGCACAAAAAAGCCCATATATATATATGCGTTACAAACAAGCCTGTGTATATGGGGGTTAGTTGGGGTCCCAGAAAGTCGTCGTATGAGAGGCACCGAAATATACCGTAAGCAAAAACCCCTTCATGTACGACGGAGCTGAAAAGTAACTTCAGTTTGAATCAAGCAGAGGCAGTGATGGCCGCGTTAATTTTGAGCAAGGTTTGGTTCTTATTCATTGCCCTCACAGTAGTGGTGATTGTTGGCTCCCCGACAACGCAGGATTTGTTGGAATCCGTAGATTGTCTCTTGAGAGACTGTTTTCGGTCACGAATGCTGACCGAAACGACGATCGATTCGGTTAGAAATTAGCGTCTGACAGGCCAAACAAGACTCATAAGCTCGTTATAATGTGAAACATGATATGACCTTGAGAGTCTGCTTGAACAGACCGGTTTCCTCTCTCGCACGCGACTTATCACCTTTTCTCCTCCACGAACACGTTCTAAGGCTTCTAGTCTCGAAGCTTTGCATTCTTTCCCTCCATTCACTCTATAAATTTTGTATTCTCACACCTGCCTCTCGGCTTTCCTTGCTCCTCCACTTTAATAGTGACTTTCATGGTTATTTAACTCGTTCTCGTTCAACTTGCATAAAATGTTCCTCAGGTATCAATTTGCTATTAGTTCTCAAGCCCCGATTATTTGGCCAAGGATATCCCACTGATATCCCCTTGACTGTCCGGGTAACAGGCTTACCACCACTGACTTTAAAAAGAAACTAAAACTTTACTTTTTAAGCCTGAATTAGCGCAGGATTCTCATAGTTTATTGTTAGTTTATTTGTCAATTGTACTTCCAGTTTTATCTCTGCTATAGGACTGCTTGCATGTAAACTTACTTAATTTAAAGGGAACCTCCACTTCAACAAAAAGATAACTTTAAATCACAGGAAATAACTGTTACAGTCAAGTCAATCTAAAATATTTGTAAAGAAAGCGTTTGTATCCGAAAGAAATAACTTTTAGATTCGCCTATTTTTGTTTTCAAATTTTGCGGGCGTCGCCATCTTGAATATTTGTGACGTGTAATGGTTGCCCTATTGTTATTAAACAAAAGCTCTTTGTGTCAGAACAATAGAGCAACCGTAACACGTCACAATTATTCAAGATGGCGGCGCCCGCGAAATTTGAAAGTGAAAATAAGCGATTTTAAAATTCACTTTTCCTGATATAAACACTTTTTTTAAGACAAATTTCGAACAAATTTGTTTATCAACATAATTTTATTCGATTTAAACTTATTCTGTAGTAAGAGTGGAGGTTCCCTTTAAGTTTTGTATCTTGTTTTAGTTTTGTAAGTTAGCCTTCAGTCTTCATTTCTACTTAAAATAATTTCTGTCATTTTGACCACAGGCCGTATAAGCCCCTGGCTTTGGCTTTACTGAGTTTGTACTATACGCCGAACGATGGAATAATAAAGTTAAATTTAAAGTTACCAGCCGAGGGCAGACCAAGTTCATTATAAGGACTCATGACGGCAATATGATCCCTATCATTTAACAAAAGAAAAAGAGCTTTGTCTCCGGACTCTTTAGATTTCGACCAAAACTGGTCGATGACGCGAAAAAAACTCGCCAAAAATTGCGTTACTTCCGATTGCCTCCAAATTGGCCCACACGAAATTAATAGATTAAGCCAATTATGTGCCTAGTTCCAGCCCCCGGAGAGTTTTGAGCTTCACGCAACGATTTTGCAAAAACTTAGAAAAATGGCGGTCCGACGTCGGATGTAGTTGTCGAGGATTTTGCGTAGAATGAAAGCTTGTATTGACGAATTTCAACCAAATGCAAGTCAAGCAAGTTATTTTGAAGGATTCTGGAGGATAACAAGTAAAACAAACGCGAAAATCGAGGTAAGAAAACAGTAAGAATGTTTGCGTTCAATTTCCCGAGTCGGCAATGTCTGGCACAAAATACTCTTCAAACGCAGTGAATTCCGTCCCGCTGAACTTTTTGTCTTCAAAGCCTTGCTTATTTTGATAACTTCTATCAGTGAATTCATGTTTGCTTGTTTTTAACTCGATATTTCGCCGAGAAACTAAAAAATAAAGCGTCTTTCGCAAGTAAATATCGGGCCATGATGTAAGTGACGCGAAGTATCTAATTTCGCTATACTAATTAGCTCTGACCTCATTTGCATAATCCGATGGGGTCACAAAATAAATTTGTCGAAAATGGTTAGTCGCTCTATATTATCGACCGATATTCGGGCTGTTTTACTTAGATATTGAAGAAAAAAAATTGTTTGTAGTGTTTTGCAAAAAATAGACAACTTTCCTGGCAGAATTACACTCTTTAAAAATTTTTAAAATAATTATGCAGAAATATGGCTTGTTTATCTTTTTTTTTTTTTTTTGCGGAATATTATGAGTTTCCTTAGACCGAAATATTTTTTTACAGAAAGTTTAATTTTTGCCCTTTCCAATGAGGTACAGTTTTATAAGGAACTGGACATAACAGCAGAGATATAACTTTTTAAAGTTGCGTGGTCAAAAATACTTAAAATACATCCCGAAGACAATGAAACGTTGAACAGTAGAAGAAGAATGGTAAAAAACGAAAAGAAAAACAATACAAACCCAGATCGTCGGTAGGCCATAGAAGCTCCAAAACCCTTTTTGATTCATGATTTTTGGAGAGATTACTTTCAAATTCTTTAGGCCATGAAGAGTAGTACAGGTTGCTCCAATACTTACTTTGACTTCTTCAGTTTCTTTTATTTCGACAATACACTTGTCCTTATTATTTACTAACCACAAACCATCGGGAAGATAAAATGTCACATATACGTAAAGACCATCAGAATCTTTTCGAACAGGTATTGTCGGGGTTAATTTCAGTTGCACTATATAAGGTTCCTTGCATTCTTCTATTATGAGAGTTGTAGGATGGACCTGGAAATGAAAAATGTTACAATTTTTCAGTTCAATGGCAAAGATTAGAAGATTTTTTTAGCGGAGATAGCGAAAAGTGACATAATTAAAACCCCAATATGGTCTACGCACCTCTCTGTTGTCATCCTTTTGAGCGTGAAAACCGATGGCGAATTTTAGCGTTTTTATTTGAAACCTAATGCTTTAGACATTTACTAAAATTCTGCTTTCACGCTCAAAAAGACTGCTATGCAAAACGTTTTACGATTACATCTATTTCAGTTGGCTCTATTTGTGAATATTCATCACAGTTAGCCTTTACGTTTTTACCAACATATTGTTATTCCCATTTAGTATTTACTAAATCAGTAGATGGCAATTTTCTCGCTATGCATATTTTGCCTCGTTTTGTAAGGTTTAGCGCGTTGTTTGGGATGAGATAAAGTTTCGATTCACCACTTTCACGATTCGTGCGACTGGTACGACTTGAATCTGAGGCTCCTCTCTACAATTCGCTACCCAAATGCCATAGTGTCCCTAATGAGATGCAGTTTCATTCAGTTGCGCGACTCGCACGAGTCGAACCACTTGAAAAGGCCCCCTATCTACAACTCGCAAGTTTAGTAGTCGTACGACTCGTACAGGTTCACCAGCCTTCAGTTGTTCGATCCAGCTAGAAAGATTAATGGAGCGATAAACTGTTGGAAGGCAGTGAAAGTGGGAAAAAGGTGGGAAAACGTTTTCCGGGGATCTGTTCACTCTGATGGCGAGGAGAAGAAGCATGAATACCTCGGCGAAACTCAGTTTAATAACAAAGTATATCACCAACTCAATCTTTATTGGCTAGGGTTCAGTCTTGTTCCTTACTACCTGGTACATTACCCAGCTCCAACGGATTATCACGAAAGCATTACGAGTCAATAATATATACATTGGAACTCGTGTATCGTGTACGTTTGTAGAAAGAGCTCCCTTTCCATTTAGGATTTTTAAAAAAGTACTTTTAAATGTTTTCCCTTGATCTAAATCTTTTGTTTCCAGGTTCAAATTTTAATTATCACCATAAGCTTTCATACCTTTATGCCAGCGAAAAACGGCTTAACGACAGAGACGGTTCCAGACCAAGGATGGGTCCCTATGAACTTTGCTTTTACTTCGCATGTTACCTGTAACAAAAGGGTGTCGTCAAGTCTCGGCCTTTCAACAACGTACACATAAACTAATTTTCTAGTCTGGTTATGGGAAAATGACGGGCTTACTCTCTTGTGCGCACGATGCGTCTATGGAGTTGATGACGTGCTGCAGGCGTTAACTCAAGGCACAATTCTCTTATATTTGTTGCCTTTATTTTTTCCCCTCGCTTACTACTTCGGTGGGTAGTGCTTTCGTGTTTCGTGTCAGTACAGAGTTGCTATGGTTGGTTATCGTGGCGTCGGCGTAGGCCCGCCCGTCCGTACAGACGGAAGGGGGAAAGGAGCGGCGAACGGGAGGGAATTGGAATTCCAGACATGACCCTTGTTTTTCTCTTGCCAAAAAGCAAAACGCAGCATAGAAAAAATCAGTGGAGTTACTCCGGTAAAATTGTTGAATTTTCTTGTGTTTGAATGACGGCAAAAACTTTCCAAGATAATTCTTTAATGCTTGCTTTTCTTGGTCACTCTTCATCTCAGATTGACCAAATTTTGACTGGTGAATTCATGCGTAAATGCTTTTGCAGCATCTCAAATTATGTTGACTTACATCTAAAGCTTTGCGTCTGAATTTTAAGTTTTTAATTTTTTGTGTTCTTTCACTGCCGCCACAAAATGAACTGCAGCTGCTGTCAAGATTCTTTTGCTATTTAAAGCTGGTTTGTTTACTTGGTTTTTGATTGAAGAAAGCTTTGCACGTGACAAAGTCAACTGGATTCATCGGTGTCTACGTTTTTGAAAGTTCATTCAGGCCAGCTTTTCCATAGAGTACAGGAAAAACCATAACTCCATGGTTGCACGCTGCACGTTTACCATTTCTTAAATTGCATTTATCTTGAACAGACACAAGTGAAGCCGTAAAGTCGTCAGTTTTATTACATAAGTAACTTGCATTGAGTCGTCACGCGTGTCTATTTGGACCAGTGCATGGACAAGTGCGAAATCTCTGGTTTTACGTGGACTCGAACCGTGTGACTAATGGTTAAGTCGTTTACTCGTGTCCAAGACAATGCAGTTGTTCTCTTTTGAAGTTCTTCAGGTAAAATTAAATTTAAATTCGGCGAACAGGTAGACTATTTAACTACCGAATACTTACTTTACTACTACTTACTTTTCTACTTTATTACGGCTTGAAAGGTGGGTTTTCATTCTACTGGGTGTTTCAAAAGTTCGTTCAGATTGAAAGTTGCACTTTGTATGAAACATTTTATGTTTCTTTAGGCAAAATTCAGCTGGGTCAGATGATAAATTTATCTAATTAATTGTTGAAAGCACTTTCACTCTAAAATTTGAATAAATGATACTGTTTTTTTTTTTTAAGTTTTCGCGCCAAATCTGCTGGGCGGTTCGTTTTTTCCCGCCCATTTTGCAGCCCTTGAATCTATTTTCGCATTTATTGTCGTTGTTTTGGATTTTCTCTTCTCTTTTACGGAAATGAAGGCGAACGCAGTTTATGCTAGAGCTCAGGCAGCTATTTTACGGTCTTCTGGCCATTCGGTCAAAGATATTGCCAAGTTGTTGAAAAAAACCGAAAGATGGGTGAACAAGTGGTCAAAAAGAAAGTCTTTCGAAGACAAACCAAGAAGTGGACGACCGTCTGTTTTGACGAATCGTGCGAGAAATGTAATCGAAAAAGCTAAGTATAAGCGTAATAATTCAACAAGAAAGATTGCTAAAAATCTTCAACGTCAGAATATCAATGTTTCGAACTCAACGGTTTGGCGGTATATGACCAACAAAGGGTGGAAAACTTTCAAGCGAAAGAAGATACCGCTTCTAAGTGAGAAGCAAAGAAGGGCTCGTTTAACATTTGCCAAGAAATACTCTAAACTCTCGGCAGAGGATTGGGAGGACTTCTTGTTTACAGATGAGTGTCCTAAGTATCTATTTCAATACCCGAATCCAAAACACGACATCGTATGGGGATCTCAGGAGTGCGACGTTCCCCCGGCATACCAGGTGAAGCAAAGTGCGAAGGTGATGGTATAGGGAGGTATGACGGGTCGTGGCCTGACAAGGTTACACATCTTACCCAGTGGCTAGACCTTAACCTCCGAGTACTGTATTAAACAGATTCTAGAGAAAGAAGTGAAACCGTTAACCACAAGGCGGAAGGTTACAGGCGGACCGACGGAAAGAAAGTTGTTTAGCTCAAAGAAGGCGATGACCTTTGTGCAGGACGGCGCGCCGGCGCACACTTCAAAGGTGGCTCAAACGTGTTGTCACAAGAATTTGCCAAGCTTTATACCCAAGGATGAGTGGCCAGCAAACTCACCTGATCTAAACCCTGTAGAGAACATCTGGAGCATAACTGACGAGATAACGTGCAGCGATCCAGCCCCGAAAACACTGGAAAGGCTAAAAAAGCGACTCCGGTTCGCCTGGAAAATGTTACTCAAGACACGCTTAAGGAGCTTGCGCATTCTATGCCCTGCCGATTAAAAAATGTCAGAAAAATAAAGGAGGCCATGCTGGCTACTAATATTTCGTTCATTCAATGTAAAATGGATAAGGAATAACATACTTAATTTTCGAGAAGGTAGTTTTAGTAATTTCTGAAATAAAAGCGGACAAAAAATCGGAACGAACTTTTGAAACTCCCTGTATTATATATAGATACAAGACGAAGTATAACTTGATTTGCTTATTGTTGTCTAGATTTGCCAAGTACATTATATAAATCTACCAGAATCTTACCCATTGGCCAGGTTCATAGTAAAATCCGCTTCCAGAGAGAATAGAGCGGATGTCTTTTTGGTTTGGACATGGCTTATCGTTCTCCTTTTTGCCTTTAAGTGGAGAGCAGAAGGGTTGCTCCTGTTTAACAAGCTTTCCCTCTGAGTGCCAATCAATTTGATATGTCACATTCTTCCATTTCCTTATTTTTGCATCAATTGACACAATGCAGAGGAGGTCAATGGCGTCCGAGTCTTCGTCCTTGGGTTGTTTAAATGTAACGACAGGTGGTCCCAAGTAGCTGCTTGTCAATTTCTGTGGTCCGGCTTTTTTAAGATAAAATTATTTATAAAATAAATATATAGCAAGAAATGGCAATTTTTTTAAAACTCCTGTTCAGTCCAGAAATACAAAACGTAACTAGCTGGAATTTTTTAAAAGGTTCTTACACCTTGTTAATAAAGGCGAAAAACAGTTTTAAGTGCAGAAAGGCACTGTAACTTGACTGTTAGGAAGAAAATAAGGAATTGCTTTATTGCAAATTAAACACGACACGGTTATACATGGGCAAGAGTTACTAAAAAATGAAACTTTTCCTTACCTTTGCAGGTCGCTAAAGAAGTCCCTACTTGTCCATAAGGGCATGGTTTACCGTTGCCTGCAAAATGAAGATAACCCGTCAGAAATACGCCATTATTAGATAGACAGACTGACGGACGGATGAATGGATGGATGGATACATAGATCATCACCTACTAGAATCGCTCTTCAAATAAAATAGCCTTATGGTAGTTTACAACAGGCGTTGATTATAACTGAAATTTTAAAATGCGGTCACTATAGATATAATGCTGTTTACATGGATTCTATTATGTAACAAAAACGGACTTGAATTTTTTTTTTCAACTGAAATTTCCTAGCGTGTCTACACGAACTTACAAGTACGTTGCGTTTGTTTAGTGTGCATGGCCAGATAGGGCTTGCATATATCAAAATTCATGTCCCCCACGCAGACATAAATTACGTCAATTTTGGCGTTCGAGGTACGAGAACGCAACCCCTGATTTTTGTTGGGTGCTCTGTGCATTATTGGGTTTCCTGTGCAATGAATAAGGGAGGTTTTTTCGAGATTGCATTTGTCGTCGTCGTCGGCACACATCTGCCTCGCTTTGAGGCGTTTGCTTACGTTTGGCATCACTTTGACGCGCTAACTCACTTGGTGATTCGCGTGTCCTCGGCGTTCATCTTTCAAACGTTTGCTGAGGTCTGCTATTCTGTCTTCGTAAACCGTTCATCTTTTAAAAGTTTGCTGAATTTTCGTAAAGCGTACATATTTAAGAGTTTGCTGAAGGTCTACTATCGATCTGTGTTTAATGAATCTTCCAAAGCGTTCATCTTTCAAAAGGGTGCTGAAAGTTTACACCATGCTACCTTTATGCCTAGCAAACATATCGAACGCAATCTCCTAAGCTCCGATTACTCCTAGTAATACAGGTAACGAGCTAATTGCATTCGTCCAACAATACACCTATTTAGGAAAACGTTTTTAAACCAAAAGGAAACTTCACTCTCGCACTTGAACACTTACAAGACACGCCTTCTGTTGTATACAAAAACACTCCCTTCTTCAAATGCTTAATCCAAATACCGCTTCCCAGATTTTTGATACAATGATTTTTCCGATCTGAAACTACAGATGTACACTAAGCAGGATTATTATCACTTTTGTAAACGCTTCTTATAGTAATTGAACAACAAGGCCTCTAACTTAGCTTATAGAGCCGAACAAGGAAGATAAACACTAATTATTCCAGTTAATCAGAAATTATGGAATATTTTGTTTGTCTGAAAGATAATGACACTGTAGTCAAACAATCTTTCTTTTTGTCGAAGCATCTGCACTCTGATAATAATTCCGCTCAATAAGTTTTTTTTAAAAACCTGACAATCTCGTGATCAATTGTCAATAAATATACCCTGAAAGTTTCAAGAACATTGAAAGCATAGAAAGCTTTTAAATAGGGCCTGAAATATACCCCCCCCCCCACCCCCAGATTTTGTGTTTACTAGTGAGCGTCCTCATTATTCACTTGCATTGTTTTCAGGTTTCATGTGCGCGTGCACATTTAGCGAAAAGAAATAAATTTGCATCAAAAAGAACTCTCGATTACTTTCCGAAGAAACATCCGGAATTTACTAATAATTGGCTTGTGTCGCAGATAGCAGTGACAGCCGAAACGGTGAACGTCACGGCTCATCGTGTAGGATGCAATACTTAATTATCTTACTCGAGTTATAACATTACAAAAACTCTTACAAAGAGTTGCTGTGATGTTATAATATAACAAAAAGTAAACTTCCGATAACTCGAACTTTCAAGAGAAATCGAAAAAAGGTTCGAGTTATCGGGAGTTCGAAGAAAATAGCCGAGAGTAAGGTAAAAAAACAGTTTTTACTGCACAGTGAACATTTTAATCACATTTGATTGTAGACATGTCAAGTGAAAATTAAAAGATACTTCTAGATCATAAGTCAGAACGTAACGTAACAAAACATAGCCTATATAAACAGAGCATGCGTTTTCCTGTTTTGAGAAGAAAAACTGCCTCACGTTAGCCTGTGACAATCATCAGCCCCCACTGGGTAAACTATACTCCTACAACACGTCAATGGGATATCCAAAATTCAATGTTTCGGACGCCCGTGGACGGCTTTTTTCCCGACTTTTTAAGGGGCTCAAAACATGGTTCGAGTTATCGAGGGTAAAATTATATAGAAAATGACCTGAGGGGAAACGAAAATTGGTTCGAGTAAGCGGGAGTTCAAGTTATCGAGGGTTCGAGTAACGAGGGTAAAATTACAGTGAATGTATGACGTAGGCTCGATTACCAGCCGCTGTTCGGGAAAAGACCAGACCCGGGAGACGGCGGAAATCGAGCCTATGTATGACGGAAATCCAGGGGAAACCGATTTTGGTTCGAGTTAGAGCGAGGTTCGAGTTAGCAAGGGTTCGAGTTATCGTAAAAAGAATGTAAACAAACTTTACAATGGTAAAACTGGTCAGTTGACTTAACATGTTCCAGGTGGTTTCTTGAAAGAAATGTGTCACTGAAATGTTAATTGAGCGCGAAGACAGGCAAGAATTTTTCCGTCATTTCATGAATGGTTTATCTTTTTTTCAACCGTCTTTTGGCTCGGTTAACAACGAGACGTTTAGCTCTGAATGTGGCGCAGGCTTGAGCTAAGTTAGCTAAAGCCCGCTAAAGACTGATGATTTTAAAAATCCCATCAACGGATTGGTATATCAGCCACAAACTTTGCTATGCTTGTCGCCTGTTTGTCGAACCCGGGAAATGTAAAAAACCGTAACTTGAACCCCTTTTTAACGTATTATATTTTCATACCGGAGACTACTTTTGATACGTTGTTGACTATTTGCTGATTATGAAGTCGCCGGGGCTAATTCAACAATATCGATCGCTAACGCTTTAAACCCTAAAACTTCGAGGGAAACCGTACTTCACAACATGAGGGCGTATCATAAAAAGGGCTAACATCAAACTGTCAAAAACGTCAAAATGCAAACGGTTTTAAAAGCTGTTTTGATCAATGCCATTAACTGATCCACCGTTTTCGTGAGCTACTTGTAGCGTGAGGCAACGCTATCATGAGTTACCAAACAGCTCACATTTTCCCGTTGCAATCAAGAAAATAAAACAATGAGCAAGCCCTAAGCATCATTTTCGTACTGACAAGTTAGAAATGTTTTCGGTTGAAAGAAGGGCGCAGCATTTTAGGTATTAAATATTCAAGCTAGTTCATTGTCGTTTTCCCATAATTTCCATAATTGATTTCCAATTACAAAGACTAGATTGAAAGCATAGTAAACAATTGAAGGAGACTCCGTTTCCGAATTACAAAGACTAGATTGAAAGCATAGTAAACAATTGAAGGAGACTCCGTTTCGACCCGTTCTGGAGCTGGAATTTACGAATTGGTTCAGCAATTCCTTTTTTCCCGCTGCACTGTTTGCAATTTTTGACATTAATGTCGGGGAAAGAAATAGGTGATACTTAACTTGATTATTCTGTGATTAAATATTAATTAGAAATTGACATTTGTAGCGCAGAAGTTAGATTTCGTGACATTAGATTTCACAATAATGTAGACAAAGTCCGAGTTTATTTACGATGTAAAATGATGTAACTGCATGCATTTTCTTAGGCTAAATAAGGTGAAAGAACGTGGGATTTTGTAATAGACACTTAATTTAGATACATTACAATGGGAACTTTTACTGTACATGTGATTAATGTAAAAATACTGCCTTACGCAAGGATAGTAGAAAAACCACTGTATACTTAGAATGTTTTAGTTTAGTTGAGTTGATCGATTCGTTGATCGTTGATCGTTTAGTTACGTTGATCGTTGTGTTACGAACGTTGAGTATATGAGAGTTGTACATCGCAGTAGATTGTTGGATTGCATTAAATCGTGTTGTTACATCGAAAGATACAGTCCTCTTGATTTGTTTGAACCAGCGGAGCGGGGTTAAAAGAATTCCGCAACAATTAATTAGAGTATGGACATCAACATTTCAGTTTCCGCTTACCAGCGCAGTAGGCAATATGGCAGGAATGCGTCGGTTGAAGGTAGTAAACGTAGTAATTTCCAGGACAGTGTTTAACGCTCACATAGAACGAGAAGAAGCAACCGCGTCGCCTCTCAAAGATGTTCACACAGGCTATGACCCGAGCCACCGGATCGTTGAGAGAAGGATGATTACCTTTTAACCAAATTGGGGCCTGCGTGCCACAATGGTTAACGTTAACTTTCTTGGTCGGCATTTTCCCTCCGACAAAACTTTTAAAGCGGTACCATCCTGCTTTGAGGTCTTTGTCACAAAGTGGAATTTGACCTGACGTCCACTTGGCTTGCACGCTCCTTCGTGAATTGTCAAGCTCAATGTGATTCCGTTTTATGCAACAATTGTTGCAGATTTGTTGAGCAGACGCTGCATGGGTAAAAGCAAGAGCAAGGATGACAAACTTAAGGGGAAAGCAGCGAGTACTCATTTTCTACTGAGATGCAGTGTCTGTGGCATCTTGTCCTACATCAAACGGCTTTCAGTATAAAAACTCTATCTCCATATCGGTCTGTACCCTGAATTCTGAAGCAGTGAAAAGGTACAAATGTTGCTTGGGAACGTTGTTATGCAACCTTACCTTGGTACGTTACCAGAATAAACTCGAAGATGCGTTCGCTAAAACGAGGTCAAAAAGTCAGGCAGAAAAGGAAATCACATGCAAGTGAAGCCTTTTTTAACAAATGTAAAACAAAGATACTTAATTAGGCTTACGCGGAGTTTGAAGACGGGAAGAAAATAGCAAATAAGCTAACTTGCCGGTTCATGTACAGGAAATCATTGCAGTGGCACTTGACTTCATTCGACAGCGCTACTTCCGAAAAGTTATTATTTTGCGAAGTTTTCCTTTTTTCGACTATAGCACCCCCCCCCCCCTGCTGTAGGTCTCTCATTAATTCATGGACATAAATAAGTTGAGGTCTGACAGTGGTATTTGTGCGCCTAAAACCCAACCTAAACCAAATTCTTCCCCCCCTCCCTCCCCAGCTACGTCTTTAACTGGAATGATCTTTACATTTTTTAATTCTTCATCCGGTAGTCCTTGTTCATTGATAGAAAGAAGGAAAACGGTCCAGGGGCTAGTAATAAGGAAGTTCTCCCATCCCGGCCTTCCCTGGGCAAAATTGATTGAAAAGGTTGCAGGACGGCAAATTGGACTATAAAAAATAGTGAAGATCTAGAGTAGTAAGGGACGAACGATTAGAAAACTCATTGAGGGGGGGAGGGGGGTAGGCGGAATACCAAAAAATATTTGCCCAAGGGAAAATTAAAAGAAAAAATTCATTCACGCCAATCAACCCTAAAAATATTCATGCTATGGCCTAAAAAAAATTCATGACTACAATTTCTAAATTCTACTGTAACTAAAGAAGCTCAATACAAAGGCAATCAAAACAGCTGTAGTGTGTAAGGCTGAGACGAATCACAAAAGAGAGCTGAGACGCGGTCAAAGGTGCCTCCCATTCTTTCTCTATCTTAAACATCTTTGTTTGCAACGGAAACAAGCGCTTACAGACTTAACCTGAGCAAATATCTCGCTGGGCTAGGACTAACACTTAATTTGCTTGTACGAACGGGTATAATGACAATCATAACGAAAAACTCGGATAAAAAAAAAGCTTTCCATATTATGTTCTCATGTTAGCTTTTTTAGTGCTGACCTTGATAGTAGTGTTTGCAGTTCAAGGGAAACTGCATAATGAGGACGTAAAATTATGAATAATAACTGGTATTGGTTAGGTTGTTGCCATTATGAAAATAAAGATACTTAGAATAAACTGATTTTCTGATTTGTTACCTAACTGTACTTACGATTATACTGACAGCAACTTCCATAGTAACCTGGCTTGCAGGAACATTGTCCATTAAGCAGAGTTCCCTGGTTGACACAGAAGGTTTGTTTGCAAACTCGTGTTCTACGTAAAGTAGTCATGTTACACGCTGCACCACCACACTGTTGTCGTGCCACTATGTATCTTCTACTTGTCTGGGAATCTCCACATCGGGTGGACGGACATGCACTCCATGTGGACCATGTAGAATAGATACAATCAAGCGGGGTAATTCCATAACAGGTCTTAGTTTCCAGCAGATTTGAGGGGCAAGTTGCTCCACCGCAACTGGGATGCCTTATAATATGTCTCGTTCTCTGCTGATAACCAGACTTTCCACACTGCAGAGCACTGCATATTGACCAAGGCGACCAAGAACTGACCTGGCAATCCGTTGGAGAACAGGATCGCCGACGCCGACGCCCACAACCATGACGCCGACGACGCCAAGCGCAGTAGTTACCAACACTTTCTTCCATAAAACACATAACAATGAGGAGGAGAAGGAAAGTAGCGATGTATTTGGAACGCATGGTAGCGCTTTATATATTAGCGCGTTTTCGGGTTGTAACAGCTACACGGTAACAGATACACTTGATCACTTTTCAACACTTTCACTAGAAAACGCTCGTTCTCATTTTACACTTCCTGGGACAATTCTTTTTTCCCAATGACATGACTGACTTACGTCCTTAGTCTCTTGTCTCTCTTTCAAAATACCGTAAAGTTCCCCTTCCAAGCCCCCCCTCCCCACTTTAAGCCCCCCCTCTTCTCCACAGTTATAGGCTCATCTACGACCCGTAAACAAAAAAATACATCCGGTTATTAGCCTGCGTAGCTAGCCGTTCTAGAAATGGGCCAATCCTTTATACTCCGTTCTAGGGTGCAACAAGAGTAAAGCAGTTTGCTTTTTAACGCATTTAACCGTATTTTTAAAAGAAATCTGTCCTTGATAAAAAAAGTGAAATGGCTGCTTACAAAATTGGAGCTTTCGTACGTTCGAGATATTATACCCCGTTCTAGAAAACGCCTCTGAAATGGATATCCCGTTCTAAATCAGGAGCTTCAAAATCACGACCACGTTGGGCAGCTCATACCCGTATAGGTAATGTATGGGAGTACCCCCTCCGGGATTTTCAGTCCGGTAAAAAGCCTTCCCGAAAACGGCTAAATCGTACTTGGAACATTAAAGGGACTGGTTCACGATAATGCGCATGTGTGAGTTCTGACAGTAGCTGACTGTTTTTCAACCAATCGGAAGCGAGTTAGATGCACGCAAGTAAATTTACAAAATTCAAATTAATTGTTCGCGACGCGAGAGTATTTCGGGCATTTGGTTTGATTTTATTTATCCCCATAATTCAGTTTTATTCTTTGCTACTCCTCAGATATATGTTGCAGCCGATAAGAATAAGATTTACAGCCCTGTCCTGCTTGTAACAAACATTTACCAACGTGTATTTTTACGAGGTCGTACCTACGCTAACAAAACAGTCACCGATTGGCAAACAAAATTTGTAAACAAACATCTTATTACTGTTCTCTCAGTTCGCCTTATATAAACCCAGAAATACCTACAAATAGCGCCGGACCGGTGACAAAACACACAACGTATGAGTATAAAGATTATCCTTAATTGAGCATAAATTTCAATTGCTTATCAGCAAATGAACAAATTCATTCGCGTTGCATCGGGTCAGTGTTCCGCAAAACAAATGTTATCGAGTAGCACACATAAAGAAACTAGATTATGAACAGAATATTCAGGCAATAATTTATTTTAAAAACATCAATTCTTAAACATATACGATCGAAAAGCAAAGATACAAGGAACATTTCAAGTGTACCAGATCGGTGAAGATCGCGCGGCCTGTTGCGGTATAACTACAGGTCGGAGTCAAAAATCAAATCAAAGTTGAACGAACTCATGCCTTTAACCACTTTCCAAGTGTCGTGTATTCTTTTCGTATGCCACACAATACTCCTAGAACCATACCAGATCGATAGCCTAAGCTTCTCTATCTCCAGAGACTCTTGAGAACGTCCTGTTGCCGAACGGCCACGATGCTCTTCTCAACCTCCATGATCAAAACATTATTTTTTGCGTCTTCTTAAGACGTAACCAGTCAAACGACACAACCACGCGTTAATTACCACTACCGAAGTATAACTAGACCAGCCAAAGCGACGGATGTCCGCACAAAACGAAGGATTGAAGGACATATCGAACGCACTCTCCTAAGCTCCGATTACTCCTAGTAATACAGGTAACGAGCTAATTGCATTCGTCCAACAATACACCTATTTAGGAAAACGTTTTTAAACCAAAAGGAAACTTCACTCTCGCACTTGAACACTTACAAGACACGCCTTCTGTTGTATACAAAAACACTCCCTTCTTCAAATGCTTAATCCAAATACCGCTTCCCAGATTTTTGATACAATGATTTTTCCGATCTGAAACTACAGATGTACACTAAGCAGGATTATTATCACTTTTGTAAACGCTTCTTATAGTAATTGAACAACAAGGCCTCTAACTTAGCTTATAGAGCCGAACAAGGAAGATAAACACTAATTATTCCAGTTAATCAGAAATTATGGAATATTTTGTTTGTCTGAAAGATAATGACACTGTAGTCAAACAATCTTTCTTTTTGTCGAAGCATCTGCACTCTGATAATAATTCCGCTCGATAAATTTTTTTTATAAACCTGACAATCTCGTGATCAATTGTCAATAAATATACCCTGAAAGTTTCAAGAACATTGAAAGCATAGAAAGCTTTTAAATAGGGCCTGAAATATACCCAATTCCCCCCCTCCCCCCCCCCAGATTTTGTGTTTACTAGTGAGCGTCCTCATTATTCACTTGCATTGTTTTCAGGTTTCATGTGCGCGTGCACATTTAGCGAAAAGAAATAAATTTGCATCAAAAAGAACTCTCGATTACTTTCCGAAGAAACATCCAGAATTTACTAATAATTGGCTTGTGTCACAGATAGTGACAGCCGAAACGGTGAACGTCACGGCTCATCGTGTAGGATGCAATACTTAATTATCTTTTACTCGAGTTATAACATTACAAAAATTCTTACAAGAGTTGCTGTGATGTTATAATATATCACTACAGTCGACTTCCGATAACTCGAACTTTCAAGAGAAATCGAAAAAAGGTTCGAGTTATCGGGAGTTCGAAGAAAATAGCCGAGAGTAAGGTAAAAAACAGTTTTTACTGCACAGTGAACATTTTAATCACATTTGATTGTAGACATGTCAAGTGAAAATTAAAAGATACTTCTAGATCATAAGTCAGAACGTAACGTAACGTATCTGTTTATATAGCCTATATAAACAGATCATGCGTTTTCCTGTTTTGAGAAGAAAAACTGCCTCACGTTAGCCTGTGACAATCATCAGCCCCCACTGAGTAAACTATACTCCTACAACACGTCAATAGGAAATCCAAAATTCAATGTTTCGGACGCCCGCGGACGGCTTTTTTCCCGACTTTTTAAGGGGCTCAAAACATGGTTCGAGTTATCGAGGGTAAAATTATATAGAAAATGACCTGAGGGGAAACGAACATTGGTTCGAGTAAGCGGGAGTTCAAGTTATCGAGGGTTCGAGTAACGAGGGTAAAATTACAGTGAATGTATGACGTAGGCTCGATTACCAGCCGCTGTTCGGGAAAAGACCAGACCCGGGAGACGGCGGAAATCGAGCCTATGTATAACGGAAATCCAGGGGAAATCGATTTTGGTTCGAGTTAGCGCGAGGTTCGAGTTAGCAAGGGTTCGAGTTATCTTAAAAAGAATGTAAACAAACTTTACAATGGTAAAACTGGTCAGTTGACTTAACATGTTCCAGGTGGTTTCTTGAAAGAAATGTGTCACTCAAATGTTAATTGACCGCGAAGACAGGCAAGAATTTTTCCGTCATTTCATGAATGGTTTATCTTTTTTTCAACCGTGTGACGTTTAGCTCTGAATGTGGCGCAGGCTTGAGCTAAGTTAGCTAAAGCCCGCTAAAGACTGATGATTTTAAAAATCCCATCAACGGATTGGTATATCAGCCACAAACTTTGCTATGCTTGTCGCCTGTTTGTCGAACCCGGGAAATGTAAAAAACCGTAACTTGAACCCCTTTTTAACGTATTATATTTTCATACCGGAGACTACTTTTGATACGTTGTTGACTATTTGCTGATTATGAAGTCTTTAAACCCTAAAACTTCGAGGGAAACCGTACTTCACAACATGAGGGGGTATCATAAAAAGGGCTAACATCAAACTGTCAAAAACGTCAAAATGCAAACGGTTTTAAAAGCTGTTTTGATCAATGCCATTAACTGATCCACCGTTTTCGTGAGCTACTTGTAGCGTGAGGCAACGCTATCATGAGTTACCAAACAGCTCACATTTTCCCGTTGCAATCAAGAAAATAAAACAATGAGCAAGCCCTAAGCATCATTTTCGTACTGACAAGTTAGAAATGTTTTCGGTTGAAAGAAGGGCGCAGCATTTTAGGTATTAAATATTCAAGCTAGTTCATTGTCGTTTTCCCATAATTTCCATAATTGATTTCCAATTACAAAGACTAGATTGAAAGCATAGTAAACAATTGAAGGAGACTCCGTTTCCGAATTACAAAGACTAGATTGAAAGCATAGTAAACAATTGAAGGAGACTCCGTTTCGACCCGTTCTGGAGCTGGAATTTACGAATTGGTTCAGCAATTCCTTTTTTCCCGCTGCACTGTTTGCAATTTTGACATTAATGTCGGGGAAAGAAATAGGTGATACTTAACTTGATTATTCTGTGATTAAATTTTAATTAGAAATTGACATTTGTAGCGCAGAAGTTAGATTTCGTGACATTAGATTTCACAATAATGTAGACAAAGTCCGAGTTTATTTACGATGTAAAATGATGTAACTGCATGCATTTTCTTAGGCTAAATAAGGTGAAAGAACGTGGGATTTTGTAATAGACACTTAATTTAGATACATTACAATGGGAACTTTTACTGTACATGTGATTAATGTAAAAATACTGCCTTACGCAAGGATAGTAGAAAAACCACTGTATACTTAGAATGTTTTAGTTTAGTTGAGTTGATCGATTCGTTGATCGTTGATCGTTTAGTTACGTTGATCGTTGTGTTACGAACGTTGAGTATATGAGAGTTGAGAGTTGTACATCGCGAAAGTAGATTGTTGGATTGCATTAAATCGTGTTGTTACATCGAAAGATACAGTCCTCTTGATTTGTTTGAACCAGCGGAGCGCCTCTCAAAGGGTTAAAAGAATTCCGCAACAATTAATTAGAGTATGGACATCAACATTTCAGTTTACCCCGTTCTAGAATTTAAAACCAGCGCAGTAGGCAATATGGCAGGAATGCGTCGGTTGAAGGTAGTAAACGTAGTAATTTTTCAGGACAGTGTTTAACGCTCACATAGAACGAGAAGAAGCTTCAAAACCGCGTCGCCTCTCAAAGATGTTCACACAGGCTATGACCCGAGCCACCGGATCGTTGAGAGAAGGATGATTACCTTTTAACCAAATTGGGGCCTGCGTGCCACAATGGTTAACGTTAACTTTCTTGGTCGGCATTTTTCCTCCGACAAACTTTTTAAAGCGCTACCATCCTGCTTTGAGGTCTTTGTCACAAAGTGGAATTTGACCTGACGTCCACTTGGCTTGCACGCTCCTTCGTGAATTGTCAAGCTCAATGTGATTCCGTTTTATGCAACAATTGTTGCAGATTTGTTGAGCAGACGCTGCATGGGTAAAAGCAAGAGTAAGGATGACAAACTTAAGGGGAAAGCAGCGAGTACTCATTTTCTACTGAGATGCAGTGTCTGTGGCATCTTGTCCTACATCAAACGGCTTTCAGTATAAAAACTCTATCTCCATATCGGTCTGTACCCTGAATTCTGAAGCAGTGAAAAGGTACAAATGTTGCTTGGGAACGTTGTTATGCAACCTTACCTTGGTACGTTACCAGAATAAACTCGAAGATGCGTTCGCTAAAACGAGGTCAAAAAGTCAGGCAGAAAAGGAAATCACATGCAAGTGAAGCCTTTTTTAACAAATGTAAAACAAAGATACTTAATTAGGCTTACGCGGAGTTTGAAATCAGGTCAAGGTTTAGACAGACGGGAAGAAAATAGCAAATAAGCTAACTTGCCGGTTCATGTACAGGAAATCATTGCAGTGGCACTTGACTTCATTCGACAGCGCTACTTCCGAAAAGTTATTATTTTGCGAAGTTTTCCTTTTTTCGACTATAGCACCCCCCCCCCCCTGCTGTAGGTCTCTCATTAATTCATGGACATAAATAAGTTGAGGTCTGACAGTGGTATTTGTGCGCCTAAAACCCAACCTAAACCAAATTCCTCCCCCCCTCCCCTCCCCAGCTACGTCTTTAACTGGAATGATCTTTACATTTTTTTAATTCTTCATCCGGTAGTCCTTGTTCATTGATAGAAAGAAGGAAAACGGTCCAGGGGCTAGTAATAAGGAAGTTCTCCCATCCCGGCCTTCCCTGGGCAAAATTGATTGAAAAGGTTGCAGGACGGCAAATTGGACTATAAAAAATAGTGAAGATCTAGAGTAGTAAGGGACGAACGATTAGAAAACTCATTGAGGGGGGGGAGGGGGTAGGCGGAATACCAAAAAATATTTGCCCAAGGGAAAATTAAAAGAAAAAATTCATTCACGCCAATCAACCCTAAAAATATTCATGCTATGGCCTAAAAAAAATTCATGACTACAATTTCTAAATTCTACTGTAACTAAAGAAGCTCAATACAAAGGCAATCAAAACAGCTGTAGTGTGTAAGGCTGAGACGAATCACAAAAGAGAGCTGAGACGCGGTCAAAGGTGCCTCCCATTCTTTCTCTATCTTAAACATCTTTGTTTGCAACGGAAACAAGCGCTTACAGACTTAACCTGAGCAAATATCTCGCTGGGCGGCTAGGACTAACACTTAATTTGCTTGTACGAACGGGTATAATGACAATCATAACGAAAAACTCGGATAAAAAAAAGGCTTTCCATATTATGTTCTCATGTTAGCTTTTTTAGTGCTGACCTTGATAGTAGTGTTTGCAGTTCAAGGGAAACTGCATAATGAGGACGTAAAATTATGAATAATAACTGGTATTGGTTAGGTTGTTGCCATTATGAAAATAAAGATACTTAGAATAAACTGATTTTCTGATTTGTTACCTAACTGTACTTACGATTATACTGACAGCAACTTCCATAGTAACCTGGCTTGCAGGAACATTGTCCATTAAGCAGAGTTCCCTGGTTGACACAGAATGTTTGTTTGCAAACTCGTGTTCTACGTAAAGTAGTCATGTTACACGCTGCACCACCACACTGTTGTCGTGCCACTATGTATCTTCTACTTGTCTGGGAATCTCCACATCGGGTGGACGGACATGCACTCCATGTGGACCATGTAGAATAGATACAATCAAGCGGGGTAATTCCATAACAGGTCTTAGTTTCAAGCAGATTTGAGGGGCAAGTTGCTCCACCGCAACTGAGATGCCTTGTAATATGTCTCGTTCTCTGCTGATAACCAGACTTTCCACACTGCAGAGCACTGCATATTGACCAAGGCGACCAAGAACTGACCTGGCAATCCGTTGGAGAACAGGATCGCCGACGCCGACGCCCACAACCATGACGCCGACGACGCCAAGCGCAGTAGTTACCAACACTTTCTTCTATAAAACACATAACAATGAGGAGGAGAAGGAAAGTAGCGATGTATTTGGAACGCATGGTAGCGCTTTATATATTAGCGCGTTTTCGGGTTGTAACAGCTACACGGTAACAGATACACTTGATCACTTTTCGACACTTTCACTAGAAAACGCTCGTTCTCATTTTACACTTCCTGGGACAATTTTTTTCCCAATGACATGACTGACTTACGTCCTTAGTCTCTTGTCTCTTTCAAAATACCGTAAAGTTCCCCTTCCAAGCCCCCTCCCCACTTTAAGCCCCCCCCCCCCTCTTCTCCACAGTTATAGGCTCATCTACGACCCGTAAACAAAAAAATACATCCGGTTATTAGCCTGCGTAGCTAGCCGTTCTAGAAATGGGCCAATCTTTTATACTCCGTTCTAGGGTGCAACAAGAGTAAAGCAGTTTGCTTTTTAACGCATTTAACCGTATTTTAAAAAGAAATCTGTC